TTAAATACACCTGACTGGTCTTTGGAAATGTGCCCTGTCCATTGGATATTTCTTGTAGTCTTCTTTTAGGAACAGTGTATTGGAACTCTTTGGCTTCTTCCTGTGTTTCTCTTCTTCCCGTGCTTCTCTTAAACATATCGGATGATTCAGTGCCAATGGAACTTGATTTGACTGTGCTATACACTTTGCTACACGGAGCCCAATTGGAACCCCAGTGCATTTTGAACATGGCAGTGTTATAACTGCTTTTCCAACAGAAAGAGTATTTTGTAAGGTAGATGAAATAATCCATGTGCATTGTGACACTGTATGGAAGCATGACACCGATTCATTCCAATAGATATTTTTTGAGTGTTTTCTTCTGATTACGATCAACTAAATGAGGTTGTGGAGAGAAAATAAGATAAAGAACTCATGGGTCGAGATAAAGGCATTTTAATGATAAAAAAGCAAAGGCCATGTGTGGAAGAAAATTAGGAGAAGGCCCCAAAAAATAAGAATTATTTTTTCTCTACTTCCCATCAGCAGGTGATGTCCAGCCACTTCCTGGGAAGCAGAGTGTAGTGGTTGCTTCAGAAGACAGATATAATAACAAGTATGATTGTCCTTTGGTCAGTTTGGGTCAGCTGTCCTGGCTGTGTCCCCTCCTAACCTCTTGCCCAGCCTCAGACCACTGGGCTGTAGGGTGGGGGTTGGAGAAAAGGCCACGGTGCTGTTCCAGCGCTGCTCAGCCGCAGCCAAAACACGTGTTTTACCAACACCCTTCTAGCTATAAGTACAAAGCACAGCACTACAGGGGCTGCTGTGGGGTAATTTAACTGCACCCCAGCCAGAGCCAGTACGGAGACACTCAGCTGATTTTACTCCATTCACTTCTGTTCCTTCTTATGTTCCAATTTATTCTTAGGTTTATTGGAGTGGGACATGAACTGCAATTTGTTGATGCTTATCACTGTAGCACTCTAATGAATTTGAAAGTTTACTTAGAAAAACCCATTGTTCCCTTTAAGCTTTTTGTTCCCCTGTTTTTAATTTATGTTGATGCCATAAAACCTGGGTATATTCTCACTGAAATGCTAGTGATGTCGAAGGTGGAAAAATGCTGTCAGATGGCATTTTTCAGAAAAGATTCCTTTTTGAGCATATGAATTTTGAAAACAAGTCAGATTTTCCCAAAGCTGTTTTTATAATGTTACTGATAAATTTGAGTCCATATTCTAATACAGGCAACAATGCATATTTGTGGTTTTGCACAGCTTAAAACTGGCATGTGCAATTGCAGTGGCTCTCTTTAACTTTCCTTTATGAATTTAAATTTAAAAAACTTGCTTTTACATACATTTCAGAACCAGTGACAATGAAGCCAATGTTTATCTCCGAAAAAGGTCTCCTAATCCTTCTGAGGAGGTAAGTGTGTGGAAATTTATTTGTCACTGCTTCTCTATTTCTCTTAAACTCCAAAAGTTCACACACTGTAAAAACATCTACTCTCTCTATAAAGCTCTGTGACAGTATATGCAAGTCTTGTGGCTTCTAATAATTTTAGTGCCAAAACCAGGCATAGCTTCTATATCTCCTAAATACATGGAACTGAATTTCACTAACCCTTGAACAAATCCCCAAAGGAGTCCCTCATACTACAATTAAATCTATTGTAACTTTGAATCTTGCTTCGTCATAACTGTATAGCTGCAACATTTTGCTTCTTTGAAGCTTCCTTTACTTGCTGCCCCAGTTTCTTTCAGTTTTTGCATTCTCTGTATGTATGTTGGTGCCCTGGTCCCAACCCTGCAAAAATGCTGTGTGTCTCCTGAAGAGCACTGTTTCTGAAAAACTGGGCTCTCTCCCTCTCCTTCACAGTAGCAGTGTTATATTCTCTCAGTAGCAGCAGCTAACCCTAAAAGAATTTTAGTTGTAACATGAAACTGCGTCCCTAATGACAGATGTGATTCATACTGGCTTCTTGAGAGCACACTATACAGCTGAGGTCTGGATTTTTACTTTTTAAGTCAGAAGAAAGGGACATTATCAGCAATCTGGTCACGCTGAGCAGGGATAGGAATATGGCTTTTTTCAGCACAAAAATAAAATTCTGACCATCTTGGAGTTTTAAAGAAATGCTACCACCAATGTTCAGTGAAACTGAGGTTTCACACAGATGCTTTAGTTTTGCAACGCTGTCAGAGCTATTAGAAATACATATGAATGAGGGGAGCTTTATTCAACTGAGTGAAAGCAGTTGAAAGCAAAAAAATCTTCTTATTTCACAACTTTTTTCTTTTTCTGTGTGTGTATACTAGACTGCAGTGCTGGATGTGCTAACAGGGAATACATTTATAAGCACACTTTCATTTTAATTGAGCAAACAATTAGAAATACTCTGCATAAAATACACACACAATTACCACCTTTGTGACATGCTGAATTTTATTTTTGTTATATAATCTATTTCTTGTTTGTTTAAGGAAACCTATGGTGTAAATGAGCAGAAGATGACAGATATGGGTGAAAATACATTAATCATCAGGTGAGTGGTTCTTATTCAAAGAGTTTTGCAAGGAATCCATAAATCTAGGTACTACTAGCAGTGCTACAAAAGGAATTGGAAATTAATTATAATGGTAGCAACTGACTGTAGTGGCTCGGAGTCCATATTTCCTATAAGCGTAAGATACGAAAGTTCATTATTGCTCAATCTGTCCCTCGACTAAAATGCTTTTTCTTGACTTGAGTTGAAAGATTCAGCTGTCTAAGCAAGAGTCTGAGTGTTCTCTCCACTTGGTGGATATGTCAGGCCCTCTGGCCTGACTCTTTCTATGTTTGGAAGACTGTCAAGACAGTATTTAGTATGGTCAATGCTAGGGAAAATCAATAACTTCAGTGGAGGTCGGGCCCCTCTGTTAGAGTATGTGTGTGTGTGTGTGTTTAGTCTAGACTAGGGTGATGGGTCCTGAACACAGAGTATGTATCCCTTTGGATACTAAATATCTATAAAAAACAAAGGATTGCTTTAGGTTTTCCCTGTTAGCTGATACTGAGCGGTACCTCTCAGTAGTTAAAATGATTGTTATATTTAAATGCAGAAAACATACAAAATATTATCAAGATCCACTGTCCTGGTCTCGCTTATGCTTCTGTTAAAAAAAAAAAACAACATGAATAGCTGTTACAGTTACAGCTGTTTACGGATTGCTGATATTGAGCAAATTTTGGGTGATACTCAGGTATATATCCAGTATAACATCTGAGCAAGTAGGATGCCTCAAGCCAGAAAAAAGGACTCATTAAAACAGGCCAAAACACATTTTTCTCCAAAAGTAGATTAGACCCAGAGGGTTATTCTTATAGTATTGTAAAATTATAAAACAAGTGTACCATCTTGTGCCTTTTTAAATAAGACCCTTCCTTGTCTTTGTGAGAGCTCAGTGGTGCCAGCAGAGTCCATTGGACTTTGCCCTTATGAACCACAGCTGGAAATTCGGAAAGTTCAAATTTTGGAGTTGTCCTGGAAAACCCCAACTGCTAGTTGGTTTCTGGAAGTTTTGGGCTTTTTCTGTTTAATATTCAGGTGTCTGACATGAGTAGCTCTGAAAGTAGATGATTTGGGGGAAGTATATTAAGTCAGATCCAGTGTATAAGCAAAATTGTGAAAATTTGATTTGTGCTGCCCAGAGCTATGTTTACTGTTCTGAAAATAAAAGGGCATCTTTCTGACTGGTGGGAATCTCCTCATACTACCTGAGAATTTGTCCAGAGTTTTCTGAGGATTAATTGATATGTATATTGGCTCTGGAAGGAACACACTGCTTTAGCCTGTTATACCCCTCCTAGTCTAGCTGGGACTCCAGCTGACTAGATTGAATTGGTTCTTTAAACTGCTGTTTGTTAGTCTGCCCTCTGATCTTCACAGTAAACATTAACAATGAAGGTTTTTTCTTCTTTTACTTGCCTCTTATTGAATTATCTCCTGTTTACAGGAAGAAAAAGGACTCAGAAGCAAGTGAGACCCCACCACCAATTCACGAGATTACAATTTTTGAGCAGCCAGAGCTATTTTACTTCATCATTTTCTTCTGGGTGCTGATCTACTGCCTTTTACTCCTTCCACAGCTTCTTAGCAACAAAGTTTGATCTGTGTGAGGTGTGGAAAAATAAAGGATGGTGGCTGGATTGCTTTGTGTATCTGCATATGAATATGTTCCTTCAGGTGAAGCACAAACAGAAATCCAGGACCTGGTATTTGTGTTTATTATCAGGTTGTCTTCAGTTCCTCTACTGTTGTGCTATGACAGTGTCAAAGCACGTTTTATATTATGATAACTGTGTAAATATATATAAAAATGACCTGATTTAGTAGACGCAATTTTGTACATTTGTGCCTTGCTTTATAAGATGCTAAATAAAACCAGATAATTATCAGTAGAAATATGAACAATTCAGAGCTCTAGTCTTCAAAAATTATTCTTCTGGCTTCATTTTCTTATGTAGGGCCTGATAGCTGTGGAAGAGGGGTAGTGGTGACTTGCCTCTGGATCTGGCCACCTGCAAGGGCAAGGCTAGAAATGCTTCTTCACGTTTTCCATTGAATTATTTGAAAGAGTTGGAGACAGAGCAGAGCTACAGGTGGTGAAATACAGATCAGGAATTACAGTTCCAGTAGCAAATCCAGTGGAGCAGCAAAATCAGGTTGAGGGTTTATTGGGGTAGGAGAGTTCGATTTTTTTAGGATTTAAATTCACTTTGGTCCTGCACCTTTTGTTGGGTTTGGTCCGAAGGAATAAATTGGGTGTGGAGAAGTGTGAAGCACATACATGCTCACTGCTTCACAGGAGTGGTCATATGGGAAATCTTAGCCCAGAAACTGAAGTGTTTTAAAAGTACCTCAGTGCTTCTGAGTCTGCTTCTGCTTCATTTTTGCTGCTGCTTTTACTTACTAGATCATGGGAAAATGTCTCTTTTTTGAAGATACAAAAAACAATAGGTCACCTAATTTGCTAAGGCTACTCTTAAGGCACAAGTGTATGGTAAAAGGATTAGAAATAGCCTTTAAGTGTCCAAATCAATAGAGGAAGAAATGACAGATATAAAACTAAATACAGAGAAATGCTGACAGCCAGCACTGACTTTCTAGTGCAACTAAGAGACTCCTGGGGCTTTTCCATAGGCACAGTCGAGCCACTTCTGCCTCTTGTAATTTTTGTCCACATCAGTGATCACTTTAGGATATTTGATTCAGGATTTTTCCAGACAAGGTGTAACCCATGCTTTGGAGAACAAAAGAGAAGACTTCAAATTCAATTTAATACCAGTAACTTTTCTCTATGTGACTTTTTGTGAAGTCACTACTTTTCACTGACACGTTTTTAGTTCCATAGTATGCTTTATGAGACTACATCACGTTGCTGCTTCCACCTGAAAATTCAGAAGGTTGACTTCAAAGTGCTTCATAAAATGAGGGGTTTCATAATTTTAGACTGAGTGAAAATTAAATCCCATGGCTATAAGTTTTACATATATTGTTGTAGCGTAAGGTGTAGCCCTACCCTGGCTAAGTTTTCAGATGAACTAATAGTAAGTGGGATCAGGACACATCAGAACATATAGCAGTTTATTTACAGGTATTTAAAACCTGTTTGTAGTCATGTTATCTGCTGAGGTAATCCTAACCATCCATCATACTTAACTCTTCTTCATAAGCTTTTTGTTCCCCTGGGATTTTTCTTCTGAGCTGCAGTTGGAATTCAACAGCAATATGGCTCAACAGGAGATCTTAAATATTGAAGATAAAATTCTAAACATTTCAACAGAAAGCTGAAATCTTTCCTATTCTGTCCTTTCACTGTTGACTAGATCTGGATTCACCCCATGAACCTAAAAATAAGATCTACTGTGCTTGGTGAGGAACAGATCCAAATGTCCCAACTTAATTCAATGTAAATCAACATAAGTAAAAAAATACATCCTTTATCTTGCTGATGAAAATGCTCAGCATTTTGAGTCATCTGATTTTGTGATCTATGAACTTGTTTGTGCTTGTTGTTGAAGATAGTGATACTTTCTTCCAAAAGAAAACCTTTATTAGATTTTTTGAAAATGCTTTCTGGAAATAGGCTAAAATAGAATATTGAAAGGCTAGTGCTTTTCCCTCTGAAAGAATAAAACTTAATACAAGAAACATTATATCCTTATCCTTAAAACCAAGGAATACTAGGCTGGGGTATGGCATCTATATAATTGCAGCAAGTAGCAGTGTACATTAGTTCAGAGTGAAAGTGTTGACAGCTCTTCATTATGTTTCACTCTTCACAGGCTCCTTTGGTTTATGACAACCTTTTCTGATTCTTTGTATCTTTACTCACTGATCCTTCCATATTTATAGATCTTGAGCAGAGGTTACCTGGAACTGGATTACAGTCTCTTCATATAACTTTATAGCTATGAAAGTTCAGTCAAGTAAAGTATGCTCTCTTCTGTCTTCTTCCTTCTAAGACTATTAATCAGGATGAGGAGCTCTTTGGATGTCTTATCCATCCATGAAGAATGGAAAGGTGGGAATGCAGTGATGCTGGTAATTTCATTACACAGTATTTTCATCCAAGAGGGAAAAAACCCAAGGTTTTCTTTGTTACCTCACACTGACAAACAGTGACTGAAACATTGAAATGAGCAGTTTAAATGTCAAACAGCATCCAGCAGTTGTCTTGGTCATCTCACCCAGTGTTTCAGCTGATACACACTTTCCATCCTATCCCATTGAGAGACAAAGATTGCTTCTTCCATCCAAAATAGATGAAAAAAAAATACTAAATTAGTCCTTGACACTTGGTGTTATGTTACTTTCCATTTTGGGGTTTGCTTGGTCGTAGGTTTGCTATAACAGAGGCAGTGTACCTTACCCAGCCATTCCATGGGTGAGAAGATCACGGGTGAAGAGTTAAGAGTGATGATACTGGTATTGTCAACTGTGCATGAAAGAAAAGTCTGAACTCTTCAGGAGTTTTGCTTTTACCTGGAACTGCAAAGAGTGACATCTGCATAAGAAGCAGTTTCCCCCCACTTAAATTGACTTGTGAGCCTGCCATCTCTTCTTCCACCGTCCAAGATCCAATCCCTCAATGCAAGTGCCCTGTTCTGAAAACATTGCTTGTTGTTGAGCTTTGTGGCCTGTTCTGAGCTACTGTCTAAAAGCCTGATTGTGAAACATTCTGTATGGCAAAGCCTATTTTAACTTGCTGCCTAGAGAACTGGCTTGAGGTAGTGGGGGTTTAAAGGCTGGTGGGCAGTCTGTTGTCTACCCATTTTCCATCAGATATGTGCACTGTCAGAATAAGGAAGTTTTTCCTGAATTTTTGACTGGGTTTTTGAAAAATGCCAACCTTAAACTGACCACATTTGGTAGTTCAGTTTAGCAGCAGAATTCAGATGGACAAGGGTACTGATCTGTTAAGACTGTTTCTAAAACCCACTGGTTTTGAGCAAATGTGGGTAGCAGATTATTGTGAAGTGTAAGTGACAGGAAATGTTTGAGGATCACTGGACAAAGGATGTTTGGTGTTCACAGAAGCACCATTAAAGGCCAAGCAACAACTATAAAAGGATGGTTCAATGTCATTGTAGTCATGTAACTTAACTGCAAAGTGTTTCATTGTGATTTTATAGAAAGTGCAAGGAAAGATACACCATTAAAAACAGAACCCCACAAAACATTTATGGGGCAGATGACTAAGAGCTGAGGAAATGAGTTAAACAGTCACATAAACTACAAACTGACCTGGATATAGCCTTTGCCAAATTGTAGGAAATTTTCAGTACAATGGTAGGGGAAGCACAGATTACAGTAAAAAATGACAATCAATTTTCAATGCCATGAATATTTTTGAGGGATTGAGCTCTAAAATGTATTTTTATTCAGTTTCTAGATTGTAATGAATGTGTCTACAGAATTTTATGCAGAGCTTGAGAGTTCAGCTGTTTGAAAATGATTTTTTTTATATAGCAGTGATTATTTTATCTATATATTTAATAGAACTGTAAAACCATTTTAAGAGTACCTGTAAAATTCTGTGTATGTGATACGATTATTTATTAATTATGACTCAAGAGAATGAACGTTAAGCTATGCATTGGTTGTGTCATCCATTTGAAAACTGGAAACTGCAAGCAGGAGAAGAGTTTTTAATGAACAGCAGACTTGAAAAGCAGGGGAAATGATTGAATATAATTGTGTGACTCTTAAAGCTGCATAGCAATATGTTATTTTGTGATGTTAAACTTTCAGCTACAGTTGCAAAATATACTGAGTGATTAAGCTACTTTCTTCCATTAAAACTTCCGGAGGCTGAAATTTCTACATGGTGATATTTGGTGTCTAAACACACTTAAATCCTCTACGTCTTCTGGACACTCTGTTTACTCCAGCTCAGTATGACTGTAACTTCTTTAATCAAGTAATGCTCCATTGAGTTTATGGGGGTACCATGCAATACCCATTGGGTTTCTTTAGGGTTCTCTGCAACAATCCTCACAAAATCAGAGCTGTAGGAGATTAATCTGGCCAGTGCATGTGGTATCACATTCAGCCATCTAACATGATAATAACTGTGCATTATCACTTATGCTAGCTTTAAATACTTGGAGTCCCTTCTTGCCAAGCACAAATGTGAATGCATCCAGTGATGTGTTCACTTCCTCTACTTCTGTGGAAGTCAATGCAACACATCTGTGTGCTAAGCACACACTACAGGACCTGGCCCCGAGGGCACTTAAATCAACATTAACCACATAGGCCAGGAAGTCCCTGAAGCCTATGCAATGCCCTTAGTGCTGGATCCCCTCAAAAATCCAACATACACCAACCATACCACTCACTTCAGTTACCTCCCCTTGTACACAGAGCATTTGTTTGTCTAAATTCTGCACGATCAACCCTCTAAAGAGAGGAAGTTAGAAGAGCAGCAGGGAACAAATAACTGGAAGATGAAGATGAGGTTTCAGGCTGGGATATGGCCATGGAAGTTTCCAAACTGCTACAGCTGAAAGCTCACACCCTGACAACAGGTTGCCTGCTGTTTCCATTGAGCTGTTTCCATAGGTAGCAGATCTGAATGGAGGTAAAAACCCCTAACATCTTTGTATTTCTGCATTGTGCAGTTTTTTGTCAGGTAAATTACTTCCAATTCTTTCCCTCGGAACACCACTGATAACAATAATTTGCAGTTGCCCAACTTAGGATCATTCACATTCCAGGTTTGTATATAAACAGGACATACAGTATGGCTTGTTCCCAGCCACACCACCCCAAGATTGTGAAGCTGTTCGTGCAGGAGGATGGGAGGTGCATGCACATTAAATGATATGGAAAAGTCATGTTCCAAGCGGCATAGCTGTCCATCGCTTTACACAACTTCAGAGCCCATGAAGGGTGAAAAATTAAACCTTATTTTTTCAAATGCCATAGTCATTTCAGGGTTATCTTAACTGAAATTGTGGAACATGAAAGTATTTCTTTCCTCCACTAAATGTAACACATGGTAAACTTCCTTCCACCTCAGTGGTACTTTCGATGACTCCTTTCCAGGCAGCTCCTACTGCTGATACTGGAAAATGAGACCCAGTTATTTTCTCCCCATAGGGGAGGAATATCTACATTTATGTCTCTAGAACATAAACTTAATGAGTGATTAATACATTTTTTTCTTCATGAAAATGGTTAGAAGGACCAATAAAAATAATTTTATCTTTGTGAGAAATACTAAAATCTGTCATTCCAGGAAAGACTATATACTTGCCTTCACTGCTATGTTCAGGCCAGGTAGTATTTTATTCCCCCAATGGTTTCATGACTTTCACTGGGCCTTCCTGGAATTTCTTTGATTCACAGAATAGATTTGCTGTGTGTCCACGGACCAATTTGTACAGGGGGGTCCTGGTCCACAGCTGTGATTAAGACTGTAACAGAAAATCACCATTGTTTACTTCAAAATGACTGGTTTGATGTAAATCAAGTGACTTTCAAAGTATATGCTGCTCAGTTTTTGAGAGAAGCAATGCAGTCATGTTTTAATGCCAAATAAGTTACACAAGTCAAATAAGAATTTTTATTGTAATAAAAAATTCAACTTCTGCTTTTGTCTTGAACAAAACATTTTAGTAGGCATACCACTTTGTGCTATTGTATACTGCTTTGTAAAAAGCTGAATAAACTGTTTTACCCTTTCTTGTTAAAGTTCTCCAGTTTAAAATGTAAAGTGCTAGTTTGCTAAAGAGTTTATGAGGGACTTCATCCTAAATAAATAATTTGTAAGTAAGGAATGTAATATTTAAAATACATGTTCCTCTTTGGCAAGTGGTGAGGAATGAACTTTTTTTTTTAAATGAGAACAAATGCTGGAAGGATTTGAGTGGTATCCAGATATACTGAAGGAGATGCATTTTCATGTACTTTCAAATACATTTCTTAACACTTTCAGTCAGGTTTGTATTGGATGTTTGCACTAGTTGCTCAAAGCTAATTTTTGTGAGAAAGAACTATATTCTTATGTATAGCTGGTACACTGAAAAAGCAAATGTTTTTAGAAACTGCTATGCTTTAATAAGAATAGTATTTACTAGTGAATAGTTCCAATTTATTTTAGAAAATCTCTAATTTTGAAATAAATGGACAGGCTTCCTGTATATAATCTGTTATCTGTGGCTTTGTCCTTTTTCTCACAACAAAATACCTTAAAACATAGTTTAGGGGAGATCACCATTTAGTTCTAATTGTTTAATTTATTCATTGTTATTATTGTATATTTTATCTATTGTGTATATTATTTTTATCTATTTATACATTTTCATGCCCAGAAATTATATTCACTTTTTAGCAGAGTAAGCATTGCAAATTCATAAAGTATGTTGTTTCCCAACTACCCAGAAAGTGACTTTTCATTTTAGAGCAAGAATCTAGACTTTTATTCTGGTCAATAAACAGATGGATTTTAAATTTTTATAAAGATGAAGAATTATTAATTTATTAATGCACAGAAATTGGCATTATAAAGGCAAGCCATGGGAAACATTACAAAAACAGTTGTGCTTAATTAGTTACTGTTCTTACAATTCAGTTTATCTGGACTGTTTCTATGTCCATGTTTAAACTTGTGGATTAGAAAATTACTAGTTGCAGTATCCATTCAATATTTACTATGAAAAGGAAAATAAAGTATAACAGAGTTGCAATACCGTTGGATTCAGCCCCATGATGTGTCTCTTGAGAAATATATCTAAATTGGATAAACACAGAGAAAGGAAATGGTATATGGAGAAGGGAGTAGGAATGCTTCTTCTCTAAAAGTTTCACGCATTAGGAATTATAAATATTCCTCTATCCTGCTACAAAATCAAATCATCCCACATGCTTTCAAAGTGTTTCTAATCACTCTTGGATTAGCTGGTACCTGCCTATAGGACCATCCTCCCCCACACCTAAGCATAGGCAGTAAGAGGATATTCATTATGCTGTTGAGAATTTGGAATATTAGGGTCCAGTCCTGTTAGCAGTGCAAACTTCCAGAATCATAGAATGGTTTGGGCTGGAAGGGACCTTTAAATGCCATCTAGTCCAGCCCTCTGCAGTGGGCACCTTCCACCAGATCAGGTTGCTGAGAACCCTTTCCAGTCTGATCTGAATGTTTCCAGGTGTGGGGCAGGCATCAATCACCTTTTCATCACCATAACTTTAAAATCTGTAAATACAGTTTGAAAACAGTAGCTTTTTTTGGTGTCATGAATGACAATTAGGTGGAGAATAAAAATGTTGTGATTTTTTTTTAATTGGATTAATTTTTTTGCAACTGACACTATGGTTAGGAAGTTGCAAGTGGACTGGGGAGTGGAGGGTGTGAAGTTCAAATAGGCAAGATGGGTCATCTCAGAATGTGGAAGCAGAGTAAGCTTTTACAGCAGTATAAGATCCAAACTTTAGTTCAAATTCAAACATAATAGGACAGGAATTGTACCAGATTTCTTTTAATTACTTTAGGATAAAAGTAATTCTGTTAGAAACTGCAAAAATAATCTCCCTTACCCTTGGTGTGTAATCAAAATTTTTGTAGCTTAAAGATGATGCAAATGCAGCATGGGAAACACATTCATCTGGATCTTGGCAGCAATAAAGACAAGAACAGGCTTCATTTCACACAAGGAACCCTATGCATGTATACATACAGTGAGTAAGCACTTTGGTTATGCAGGAGCCCAGACTTTCAAAGGATAATCTGTGGACATCACACATAGATTCTGGTTAGGAGTGTATAAAGAAAACTTTTTCCTCTCTTCAGTGCTCATTTTACCTGGCTGGTAAACAAAAGCCAGCAGGGTCAGGAGAACCTTCAAACTGGTGAGCAGATAGAGCAAACCCTTAGACTTGAGCTGTGATTTATATTAAGATACCAATATACAGTGATAACCTTTTCTTGAGTTGCTATTTCTACTGATGTTACAAGGATTATTTCCAGGAAAGCTAATTGCAGCAGTTTATGAAATGCCTTCTGTGATTAACTCCATTCCTTGGTGAGACAGTACCACTAACTTGCCACAGTCCTTGTCAAACTGTACACTTTATCTTGGAATATCATGTAACATATGATCAAAGCAAAATGTATAGCTCCATCTGCTGTAAATACTTTGAATTGATTATTTTTAGGTTACTTTTTTATGGCTTATTTGTACTCTGGGGAACTGATTTATCACTTTGCCGATATGTATTTTCTGCATGTTAGCAAGAATCAGCATCAGTACAGATTTATACATTGCAAAGTGGTATTTCTTGGTTCCCAGGCAAAGAGGAGCATTAAAAAGGGTATTTCTCAAGGACATTAGGAACTTACGTTAAGTGTCATATGACAGATCTTTTGTATTTGTCATTGTAGCTGCTTGTGAAAAAGGGAAACGTACCCATTTTCAAAAAGGGTAGGAAGGAGGGCCCTAGGAGCTAACAACCTGTGAGCCTCACTTCTGTGCCTCGGAAGATCAGGAACAAATCCTCCTAGAAGTTATGCTGAAGCACATGGAGGACAGGAAGGCGATATGGGACAGCCAGCACGCCTTCACCAAAGGCAAGTCCTGCCTGACCAGCCTAGTGGCCTTCTATGATGGAGTGACTGCATCAGTGGGCAAGGGAAGGCTTACAGATGTCATTTATCTGGACTTCTGTAGTTCACACAGTTCCCCACAATATTTTTCTCTCTAAATTGGAGATGGATCCGATGGGTGGACCGTTCGGTGGATAAAGAACTAGTTGCATGGTTGCACCTAAAGAGTTCAAAAAGCAATAGCTCTCTCTTCTGGGCCATACACAA